GTAATAGTAGTAACAGCGTTTGCTGTAGTAGTGGTAATAGTAGTAGTAGAAGTACCAGCAGCAGCAGTAGTAGTAGTAGCAGTAGTAGTAGTAGTAGTAGCAGCAGTGGTAGTAGTAGTAATTTTTTTATTATAAATTATAACTATTTGGTTGGTTATTCAAAGCAAAAGTAATGTCGTATTTATTAGCAAGTGATACGAAGATGAAAAAAAAAACAAAAGCAAATTATGGTGCGAATGAAAATAAATGTGAAAATAGGGTACCCACTCGTAGCGAGTAATTAATTTTATTCAGCCGGCAATCTTTTAACAAATGGAAAATAAATTGAGAGAAGTTTTTTAACGTTCTTGAAAAAAATAACCACGTAAATTCAGCGGTGCATCGAGAAATTAATCATCCAGATGGCGTCGTTTCGTTTCGAAATGATGTCATTTTGTTTCGTCATGACGTGATGACGGAATGCATCTCACCATCAGACTACGAAAGAGTAAAATATTGAAGATTCTGTGTTCAATCTTGTAATAACTGACGAAGGTTGTCATTAATTTGAGAATTTTGGAAATCGTCTCACCAAAAAAGGAACGAACCGGAATTATTGCTAAGTGAAAGCTTACATTCATATCACAGTTTTCATGTCAAAGTATGTCCTGAAAGTCAAACTAAATAACAATAATATTTATCGTGTGTTGGTCAGAATTGAAAAAAAAAACGAAATTTGATCAATAATATCAAGCCTATAATCTCATGGTAATTTATTTATAAATAGTGCTGCATTTTTTTTGCAGAATTTCTAATAAGTGCGTGTGCCGAAAAATGATAGCAACTTGATAACTTAATTTTTGCTTGTCATTGCGTGATTTTGTGAATAAATTGTATTCCCTAAATTGGAAAAAAAAATGAAAAATTTTCATGAAAACATTTAAATACGTGTAAGTTATGTGATGAGGTGGCATACGTGCAAGCGATGTGTCAATGTATGTGTCACTCAAGTGTATTCGCATTTGATGCTGACAGCACAAGAGAGCAGTTACTACTTTAGAATTGTAAAATTATTAGAATATTTTAATGTACGTTATTGATTTTTTGCATCTCTTTCATCTTTACCGTTATTGTGGTGCGCAACTTAATCCTGACCATCAAAAGAATCGTCATCAGTGAAATTAACATTTTTAACATCAGCCTATGTGACAGATTCATCATCATCATTAATACCATCATCATCATCATCATCATTAATACCACCACCACCACCATCATCATCTTCATCATTATCATCATCGTCGTCATCATCGTCTACATATTGACGCCGCTCGTCTTTGCATACAAATTTACTGCTTGGAAAGAGAAACGTATTACCATAAACACGTTCTCAAAAACTAATTCATGAAAACGTCTGCGCGCGCGCAAACACACACACACATTCACATATGAACACACACGTACACACACTCACATGTAAACAACAAACACATAAACATACACTCACACACACGTACACACATTCACATATAAACACACAAACACATAAACACACACTCACACACACGTACGCACACACACACGTACGCACACACACACTCACATATAAACACACACTCACATATAAACATACACATAAACAGAATATAATAAACGCATATACATTATGTACCTTCATTAATACGTGTATTGTATATCTTTGCTCGTCCCTGCATATAAAAACAGACAACCTACAATCACAAAATTCACTCAAAATGCTAGAAAAACAAACTAACACTATAATAACCACTTATACATTGATACAAAGTAATTCAGAAAATTAATTTCAAAAAGTGAAAATGGGTCAAATATACAAAGAAACATACAAACATGATGATACAAGCACATGTTCTCTTATATAGAACAAAACACTTGTTGAAGCAGTATAAAAAACATCCAAAACATTCAATTACATTAACACTCATCCAACATCTAGGCATGCACTTTCACATGCTTATAAATACTAAAAAAAACACATACACACATACACAATTAAAAACATACAGGTACACAAACATGTACCAATACACGCACATACTCATACATCCATATAAAAAACGCTTACTCCCATTTACCAAATACACACACACATACACACACACACATATACAACATAAACACAAATAAATATACAGCTACACACATACAGACACATGCTTACACACTTACACACTCGTACACACGCACATACACGCACATAAACACATACATACTCACACACACACACATATGTTTCTTGTGACCTTTACGAAGTCCCAGAGAGCTGAAGCTTTTTCTCAATTGAGAAAGAGAGAGATTTAATTAGGTATTGTAAGCTGACACGAAGAAGAAAAGAAAACTTCTCAAATTTTTTTTTTTTTTTTTTTTTTTTTTTTTTTTGCCAGATAAAATATACATACATATATACAAACATTTGTATCTGTTCAGAAATGCACATTTACCTACAAAGACAACACGTGCAATACAATACGTACTGATGTACCGTGCAACGTGTTGATCTCGACATGTGGGTGAGTATATATTTGCCACTCTATAAGAGTTGTATATTATATTAACCCAGAAATGAGGGCAAACTACGGCCCGTGGGCCTCATGCGACCCGCAAAATTATTTTATGCGGCCCGCGGGGTCTTGCTTGTCCAAAAAAAGGTTGTCAGCCAGACATTATGACACCAAAAAATGAGCCACAAATGTTGTTAAAAATTTTAAAAATTCTCCCTCGGGTCGAGTCGAAAAATTTGCTATCTAAATACATATGCGGCCCTTCAAATGTAAAATAGTTTTCAATGCGGTTCTCACAGCAAAAAGTTTGCCCACCCCTGTGTTAACCCATTAGTCACCTAATGCCACTAAATTAATTCTTTTTTATTTATTTTTTTCTTCTAACTGATTTTTAAACTACATTATTTGTTTATATAAATCATTTTCATAATTTTCATAATGTGTATTCTATTTTATGTTTAATTTCTAATTAATTTCCGGGCTCCGTTAAAGCTCTTCTGAACTTCAGTCTCCCCGCTTTTTTGGTAAAATAAAATTGTCATTGTCATACATACATGCATTCATTCATTCATTCATGCATTCCTTCATTCATTTGTGTTTTCTTTCTTTCATTACACACGTACATACACAGATTATACACATCTAGGCACATATTATACACACACACATTACACACACATACACACACACACACACACACACACACACACATATATATATATATATATATATATATATATATATATATATATATATATATATATATATACACACACGATGTATTACGCAATCATTACATGCAAGTTATAAAGAAAAATTTTATTAGATCGCATTTGAAGATAAATGTTTCAGATTCAATAAAAACCATGCCTTTGCTGATATAAACAAATTGACTGACAAGTTGTGAATAATTTATAGTTAAAAGATATAATATTTTTAAATCAAAACACTTGTATTTAGTAATTACGCCATATTTTTATGTACAACTGTTAAAAGTTAAGCTAAAAAAATTGAATGAAGAAACAGAAGATTACAAAAATTAAAACAGAAAAGCGACATGATCCAAAAAGACTTATTTGCCCTTTTCGATTTCACTCAGAGCCATCTAACAAGAAATTATTTTCACTCTTACTGGAACGTCGTCGTCATCATCTTCATTGTCATCCTCATCATCTTAATCATCTTTATTATTGTGAATGTCGTTGTAAGTGTTACTGTCATTTCATCATCATCGTCGTCACCATCATCATCGTCACCATCATCATCTTCACCATCATCATTTTCACCAGCATCTTTATTAATATATTATGTCGGCTGACTTTACAATATTAAAAACTAGATCAACAATAACAACAATTCAATAAGGAAAAAGTTCAGGCCTGTCTAGAATAGATGAAAAAAAAACAAACAAAACCGAAGCGATAAATAAAACGAAACGAAAAAAAAATGAAAAAAGAATACAGGGTTGCATCTCATTTAGCAGACAATTATTTTCTGACACTTGTTCGTCTGCACTGGTCACGAGTCGAACAAAAAAAAACTTTTTTCCAGCACAAAGCAATCAAACAGACACGCTCATACAAACACACACGCTCACACATACACACAAACACACATGCACGTACGTACACACTAACACTTACAATCAAGCTAACAAAGAGAACAGACGCAAAACTCACGATCAGACACACACACACACACACAAACTAATAGACAGACACCGAAACAAACACACATAAACCAACAAATAGACTTACAAACACACACTCACACACATACACACGAACATCCTTAATCTAAAAGTTAAAAAACACTGAAATTGTTATTTTATTGTTATTTTAAATTGTTCTTATTCAAATCCGACCTGTTCAAAGTTTAACCACTTATGTATAGATGGGGCAAAATATAAATTATGTGAATGTGTGCGCACGAGGTGTGTGTCTGCCGGCGTGTGTTTTCTAGTTATCTATTTCAAACATAAACAAAACTAAGCAGAAAAAGAGTGCCATAACTCAAAACTCTCCAGCCAAAATGTTTTGACACGTTAATATGGAAGAGCTGATATTGACGACTTGTCCATGTTTTGGAAGAAGTTTTTGAAAGATGATCATGTCATTGTTGTTGTTGTTGATGATGATGTCTTTTTGTTAATGTTGATGTTTTATTCGTTGTTGTATAGACATACATATATATATGTGAATAATGTTGTTTTTTCTCTCATACACACATATTCAAAATATCACTATAATCGATGTAACCAACGTATTCGATATAAGCGATGTATTCGATATATCCGACGCATTCGATATAGCCGTAAAGATCAAAATAGCTGATAGAACCAATAAAACGATGTAAGTGAATAACAAATAAGGCAAATTATTAGAAAAAATCTTTCGTAATGGTTTTATAGATGTTCTCAAATCTGTAATATTCGGTTAATGTTTACGCCTATGAGTGGCTATTAATATCAAAAGCATCACAATGGCATTACTGAAAAAAATCGCTTTTCTGTGTTGTTGTTTTTAATAATAATAATATTATAATAATAATAATTATTATTTTTGGTAACTTCACTAATAGTTTTATTCTCCAATTATTATTGTTGTTGTTTTTAACATTGTTTTTATTATTATCAAAGTTATTATTATTATTGTCATTTTGAAATTATTTTTAATGAAAAAAAAACTAAATAAATCAACTGCTTTAGAATTAAAATTTAACTGAAAGATTAAGGATTTTAATTTTGTTTTGGTTATTGAAAAAGTGTTAAGAAGTTTTTTTATTTGTTCGTTTGAATAAAAATAGTTATATATTAATTATAAAAATTTCTGAAACTTCAATTTAAAAGAAATTAATAAAGAATTCTCACAAAAATTGAAAACAGGTCGTAGTGCAAGTATCCTTGGATTTGATGTCATGATGTCACTTGCCAACATTAACAGCGACAAAAACGTCAACAAAAATTACATCAATGTAAATAGCAATGACATAAGTGATGGAATGGACGAGAATGACATCAACATAGATCATCTCATCAACAAAAACATCATAAACATTTACCCAAAAAACAGCATTGAGATCAAAAACAACAACAACATCATCAATAACAACAACAGCAGCCAAAACAACATAGTCATTATTAACAACAGCACAGACAACTCTAAAAATGACATTATTAACTACACGAATGCAAAAAATGTCATTATAGATTTAAGTAATAAAAATATAAGCGTGCTCATGAAAGATAATAAAAACAATAACAAAACAATTGGTTATGACGTCATTGTCAGCAACAACAATCAAAATAACAATAAGGTGTATAAAGCGGAAATCAACATTGATGTAATAAACAAAAGTATGCTTAGCATCAAAAACTATAATATCTTTCCCGAAGATTTCAGTGAAGAGAATATGAAAACTATTGGCCACAGATCTAAGAACGACGCAAATTACATTAACGAAATCATTAATAACAACATTAACTTCTACGACAACATTAAAAACATTACAAACAGTAGCAGCTATAGTATCAACAGTCAGTACATCATCAACAAAAATACCGACGAAGATTCTAGCACAGGTTACATCAACAAAATGGACGACAACATCACTGAAAACAACAACATTAACAACGACAACATTAACAACAGCATTAACAACAATAACAACCACATTAACAACAACATTAACAACGACAACATTAACAACAACATTAACAAAAACATTAACAACAATAACAACCACATTAACAACAGCATTAACAAAAACAACAACAATATTAACAACAACGACAACAGAAATAACATCAACAACAGCAATCAAGACATCATTGCCGCCAACAATAGTAATAACGACGACACAAACATCCATCTTTTACTGGACTACCAAAACGATTCGCCACGACCACAACAACCACTGCTACTATCCACAAGCACATCTGTCGATGAGCACTTAGCCAAAAATCACTCAAATTTTTTTCCATATTCTTACGATGTACACTCAATTGGTCACTTAGACATCTGCGATGCTGAAACATTTGAGGCCGAATGTCCAGTCAATCACGTTATTCTGGTCAGATCTGCACTTTATGGCAGGATTGATGTCTGCAGGTTAGTTTTTTGGTTGGTTGTTTGATTGGCTGGCTGGTTGGTTGTTTGATTGGTTGGTTGATTGGCTGGTTTGTTGATTGGATGATTGATTGGTTGTTTGATTGGTTGATTGGCTAGTTGGTTTGCTGGTTGGATGGTTGTTTAGCTGAAATTTTAGTTTATCAACTCCTATCAAATTTGAAAATTGATGCCATAACGCGTTAAACGTATATAAACTTTTACGAATTCGAGTTTTAAGATTTGCATGCTACCGAACACTAATTTAATAGTTACAACGTTAAAATAAGTTGGTTAAAACATAAAAATGGAAGATATTAGTATAATTAATATTTTGTCCGTAATAAAACCAGTTCACTTTTTTAATTTGAGTTGATTTTCATGGAACAAAAATTCAATTTTTTTTTGAGATTTTATTTGAACGCCTTGAGCGTTCGAGATTGTCCAAAGAATGATGGTGCATTAACAAATGATGTATGATGGCTGATTTGTAAAAATAATTTGATTATAATTAGAAGACCATCAAAAAAGAATTGATTGATAGCTAATATAAAAAAAATTCTTATAAATGAATTTTGAATTTTAACGAGTCGTCAAGCCATCCGTCATTTTCACGCTACAACACGACATCAAATCAACCACAACAACCACAACAGCATTAGCAACACCACGAACACTAATAACAAAACTGACATCCGCATAATCAACAAAACAACAATAAAAACATCAACAGCGTCTACCTTAACAACAACAACAACAACATCCACCACAACATCTAAAACTTCACCACACCATACCACAAAAACCGCAGCCACACCATCAACCAATCCTCACCAGATGTCTGGAAGATGCATTCGGATACGTTGGTTGCTACA